CCCCCCGGGATCGCCGCCCCTGGCCCTCCCCCCCCCCCCCCGTCCCCCACTGAAATATTGGCCGGCACGATTTTCAAATTTCAGCACACTTAATTTCAAATTTTGCCCTCCCCCCTAAGAAAACCTGGATCCGTGCCTCATGTCACAGACGAAAACAACACGCCGATCGCGTCGTCATCTCATAGACAACCTGATCTCCGAATTCCTGCGAAGTGTTCGCGATGATCAGCCTTGTGCAAGAGAGTCGGCAGTCATAGAAGCGCCACAGACGTGATAGAGAGTGATGAAGAATCGTTGCCATTGTCACCAGAGGAACCAATACCAACAAAGAATGGAAACAAACGGTGGCGCTCCCGGGGGGGGGGGGGGGCAAGGGGGCACGGTGCCTTCCCACTTTTTGAAGTACCCGAAAGTGCCCCTTTTTACATAGGAAAAGTGCCCCTATTACTTTGACAAGGGCTCCTATTTATTTTTAAAAGTGCCCCTCCCCCTTTCCACCTCTTAAAAGTGCCCCTTTTATTTTGACACGTACCCCTTTTCCTTTGACAAGTTCTCATTTTCCTTTGCAATAAGTGTCCATTTCTTATTCTAATAATTGCCTTTTTCAATCTCTAGTAAAATCCCTTTTTAAGGTACGAGAAGTGCCCCTTTTCAATTTTGATAAGCGCCCCTTCACCTCTGATATTTGCCCTATTCCAACCTGAGAGGTTACCCTTTTGCTTTGTAAAAAGTGCCCCTTCTATAACTACCCCCTTTTAACTCGGATAAGCGCACCTTATATCTTCACATGTGCCCCTTTACTTTTTAATAAGTGCCCTTTTTTCTTATAATAAGTGCCCCCATTTAAAAAGAGCCCCTTTCCCTTGTCATAAATGCCCCTTATCATCTATGAAAAATAGTTCCTTTGACCCTCATAAGTGCCCATTTCGTCTTCTGTAAATGGCCCTATTCAATTCCGAGAGATAATTGCTTTACTTTGACAAGTGCCCATTCCCCTCCTGATAAGTGCTCTTTTCATTTCTTATAAAAGCCCCTTTTATTTTGACACTTCCCCCTTTTCCTTCCTAATAAATGATCTTTTTCCTTCTTATAAGTGTCCCTTTCTCTTCTCATAATTACCCCCCTTTTCATCCTTCATAAGTGCCCCGTTTATTTCAACATGTGCCTTTTTTTTTATTTTTTTTAATAAGAGCCACTTCCCCCTTCATATAGAAGCCCTCTTTAATCTCCGATAAATGCCCCTATTAAAATCTGATCGGTGCCCCTTTTCTTTCAACAAATGTACATTTTCATTTCTCATTAGTGCTCCTTTTTCATTATCATAAGTGCCTCTTTTCAGTTATGGTCAGTGTCCATCTTCTTCCTTTCTAATAAGGAACCTATTCCTTTTTCATCAATGCCCCTTTCATTTCTTATAAATGCCCCTATCAAAATCTGATGGGTACCTCTTTTCAGTTGATAAATGCCCATTTCCCATTCCCATAAAATCCCTTTTCGTCCCTGGTGTGTGCCTCTTTTTTTTAGGTGTAAGAAGTGCCCCATTTTCATCTCTGATAATTAGCCTTTGTACTTTGACACGTAACCCTTTTCTTTTGTAATAAGTGTCTTAACCCTTTCGATAAGTTTCCCCTTTTCCTTAAATCATTAAACGTGCTCCTAATTTCAAGCGACAAGAGCAATTTCTCCCAAAACTCGCTCGCTACGTTCGCTCGTAGTAATAGATGTTAAATTGATGTATTCTTCCGTTATGAGAATGTGGTTATAACCCCACCAGGAATGGGTTTTTCTTCTTTATAAGATGTAATTCTTCGCACTGCAACTTCACAAATCTTTAAAAATGTCCTCGCTCACTTCGCTCGCTCGCAGATGAATTTTCAGACCATCACACTCAACTGCAAAGTATGATGCTTAAGCAATATCTCATATGATGCATATAAAGGAGAAACAAATATTGAAATCATCCCTGATAAAGTAATCCCAATATAGGGGTCTATACTAATATCTAAAAAATTGTATAATTTTGCTTTGAGATTTCCCTTTTGAAGGTGCCCTTTTGTCCAGGAAGTGCCCTTTTTGTTCGTGCCCCCCCCCCACCCCCTCACTTTGGAAGTCACTCCGATGCCTCTGGGAACAAACCTAAAAGAAAAAGAAAGCACGAGAAAAAGTAATGGACAGAACTCTTCTGTTGGAAACGGCTTTATCTTGGCTGAAGTAAGCAAAGATGCCACACATCTATTCTAATATGAAATCTCTAAGTATACTCCTAATATCCCCCAACGTAAGAGGATGAAAAATAAAACGAAACGAGGTAATACATTTTCATGGCTATCGATTAAAAAAATAAACATCATTTTATTGCAAGAAACGTGTTTAACCTTTGAACTATAAACATCTTTTAAATCGGAATGTGGCGATCTTTCTTTCTTCAGCCACGGAACTAACCACTCTAAAGGCGTTGTAATCATAATCAGGATAAAGAATGATATAGAAATATTTGAAAGTTTTTTCAATTTTGATGGAAGAGCTGTTGCTGTTCGATTTAGATACAGAAGGAAGGTTATACTTTGTGCTAAATGTATATGCTCCGACTGTAAAATCAGAAAAAGAGTTGTTTTACGAAAAGATGTTCAAATGGATTAAAATATATTAAGCACAAAGACGAATTACTAAAATTTGGAGGTGATTGGAAATGTTTACAAGATCCTCAGTTTGATATCCGAGGGGCCGAGGCTGGTCACAGGTATACAAACCAATTAAGTGGCTACAAAACATCCAAAATAAACACAAACTGATTGACATATGGCGGGAAATGCACCCGCTAGAAAGGCAATTTACATGACGACAACTATCGTTAGGAATATATTCTAGATTAGATATTAGCTTATTTCATCGTCACTGTATTGCTATGTTCAAACTACCGATATTAGACCTGTCATCAAATGTGATCATTGTGCTGTATCATTAGTATCGAAAACAGATAACGTTGAAAGGGGGAAAGGCCTTTGGAAATATAATAATTCATTGCTATGTGACATTGATTTTAAGAACAAAATTAAAAACATCATACACGCTCTAACGTCTAATCATAAGCGTATGAATGCAAGAACTAAATGGGACATGTGTAAAATACAAATAAGAGAATTTGCTATGAAGTTTTCTAAACAAAGGCAGAAGGAAAAATCCAAATTGTGCAAGAAAATGTATAATAATTATACAGAGGCTTGCAGAAAAGTGAACAGTAACCATACTAGGGAAGATATAGACTGAATGGTAGAAATAAAGAAAGAGATTGAAAAATGGCACACACATTTATGTAAAGGTGCATTCATTAGATCTCGAGAACAGTGGTTGGGAGAGGGTAAAAAGTCAACCAAGTACTTTCTCAAGGAATTGGATTGTATAACAACAAAAGGGAATATAAACACTGGAAACGAAAATATTTTGAGAGAAAAAACTACATATTATATATGCGTATAACATATGTATGGTGGCGTGAAAACATATTTAGCCTTTTCAATAAAGGAAACAAAGAATACTAAATATGCAAACATGACTTGTAATGACTTGGAAATAAAGGTTTTAAAAGAATATTTTCGAATTCGTCTGCCCTGCTCTCATGCAAATATCAGATTTGGAAAAGATAGAATAAGGTATGAAATGTCCATGAAAATGGGATGCGCTTTCAGGTGTGAATAACATAATTTTCTGGCTCGTCTTCTTCACACAGCAATCTCCGCTTGCCAAGCGTTAAATAAGTAAGTAAGTCAAAGTAAGTTGTATTTATACTTTGAAGGTCCTTACTCGCATTTCATTACATAACACATCTTTAGCAAATGATTTCGGTCAAGCAGGTGTTGACGTCAAATGATACTGGAATACAGAACATGCAATTGCATTGTGAAATCGTTCAGAAAAGGTTGAGTCATCTAGCATATTGATCATCTAGCAGTATTGGTGTGTACTGCAAGGTTCTGGAATCATCAAAATGATAAGAAATTTGGCCCAGTCTTCGTATAAAGTTAAAAGCACTGTACACAGAAAGATGTATATGGGACTATACGCACACGTGCGCGACACGTGCGTTTATCTCTCACAGACCATGTAGATAAACTAATTTACCAAATATATCAATTAGTAGGCGGTTTCCCGGCAAATTTGTTATCATCATGTAATAGTCAAAATATATTCTTTCACATGATTGGTAATAAGAGCTTCCATTTCATTTTTTGAAATTGGGGCTTTTCCAATACTGGTCTTTACCTTTAAACTTGTATTAAAAGAAATCTATGATACATACTATTTCTTAAAACTTGTCACGCGATGCCAGCTGCTCGACTCCTCTCCTATTCTATTGCTAATTAGTTGCTGCTTTTGGTCATTATTTTTGGTTGATTTGCTTGTCAATCTATTTGCTGTGGAACACTGACTGTCTAAGATTAATTTTGATGGAATTCCAAATTGTGCTGCATCATATTCTGTGAAAAATTTTGTGAACATTTCTGTCTTGGGATTCATCATTAAAGTGGGTGTCCATTTTCTTTTACATCCATGTCATTCTTGTATTGAGCCGTACTACTCCAAAGTGCCAACTTTAACAATGGTAGTTTAGCCCTGAATGAACAATGGCATCCATTCATGTTCTCTTGGTAATTCTCGGCCTTCCATTTAGTGATGGGCAGCTTAATCATAAATGCCCTGTGAATGGCTTTGCTGATTTACACTATCATGCTTTTTCAGTATTTTCAGACCAGTCACTGAACATGAATTCACTAGAATAACAATGAAATCCTCTTCAACGACTTGTAGCCTTGATATTACTCCCACGTGCGTATTGAAGCTATGTCTCGAAGAACTTGTTCCCATAACGACCAATATCATTAGTGATATCCTGAAATATTATAACGTTCCGATATTTGTCCTCTCATTAAGGATCCCGAATTGGATTGTGATGATCTTAACATTGATCGTCCAATCGCAAATCTTAAGTTTCTAGCATAACGATGGAGAGATCTGTGTCTGAGCATCATTTTCAAGCAAGAACACAGTCTGCTTATCTTCCTTTCCACAACAGTACTGTGATACCACATTCCTGTTTATTTCGAACGAAATCCTGATGTCTCTAGATGAGAGCCAGGGGGGATAGTAATTCTCCTGGCCTACTCGTCTGCTTTTGACACCGTTAGACATGACACTATCCTACAAAGGCTCTCACAGTGGTTTGGGATTCAAGGATCTGCACTTGACTGGTTTCAGACCTATCTCACGTCTCGCACACATACTGTTGCATTCGATAGGATTCAGTCATCAGCTCATACGCCTACCCATGGAGTCCAACAAGGATATGTTGTTGGACGCTTAAAGTTACACTGTACTACTTGTAGCTACTTTCTCCCTCTATATAGAAAACTTTCTTGATCGGTGCCTGTTTTCTTATGTTAATTGAGAGCTGAGTTAATGAGATAGCCACCTGTCAGCGACCTCTCTGTGTGGTCTAATCCCTTCTGGCTGAACTAGGACAGCCGACCTTTAATTTACATTGTATACGATTACAAAAATCCGACCTTATATTGACAAGCGACTACTGAAAGATTAGTACCTGCGTTTGTTATGTGTTATATCGATTACTGAAATCGTCTCCTGTAGGGTTTACCAGACACTCAGATCCGGAAGATTCAGGTTATTCAAAACTGGAACAAGGATCAAAAGATATAAGTTAAGTTCACCTTTATTACGAGTCTTGCATTGGTTGCCTGTCCGTGAACGTATTCAATTTAATATCTTCCTACCTGACTTGTATATCAGTGTTTTCATTAAAAAAAAGCTCCACTATACCTCTCATACCTCCTTGCAAAATAACAGCCAGTGAGAAATCTTAGGTCAGTACAGAAAGACTTGTATGTAGTACCTCACACGTTAACTTTTTTTGGGGCATGCTGCCCCTAAATTGTGGAACAACATCTAGCAACTAGCAACACGCTATGCATTCGGTGTCAGCTCGCTAGCTTCTCTCAAAGCCTGACAAAAGTCGGGCTCGCGACTTTTTTTCGATTTTCAATGCGCCGGCCGTGCGTCGTCTTTGTGTGACCGGGCCTTAAAGTGTGTAGCACCAGTGTGAACATTGCGAGTATTTCGAACACTTAAAAAGTTTTTCACAGTTTTCCACACTGCTGGTGTAATGTAGTGTGGCGAAATATGGCCATTTTAATAGAGGGCTCACGATTTGTAGCATCGGAGTGTGAACGCAGAATGGATTTGGGACACTCAGACAAAATCCCCCTACTGAGACTGGATTTCATTTAAAACTGAGCTAAAATCAGTTATTCTTCTTCAACAAAGTACATCTGTGTGTTTTCTTTCATTTGTATTCATCACAACATAAAGTATCCGGTGTGATAAAGATAATATCACACATCATTTACATGTCTGCGTTCACTACTAAATTCCAATTCAAAGACGTTTCATGCATTTTCTATCATGTTTATGAACATTTTAGATTTGTATTTTTAAAAGGAAACCGCTGGTGTTACGAGCGACAATAGTTCTACGTTTTACATCATCGATGCCTCAAGGAAATACCATACATGTGATCGTCTGGATATCATCATCGAAGCCAGAGACAGTAAGAAACAATTAAAAGTAAATGGAGGGGATTATATCCGGGTCAGGATCTACAATATTGACCTCAAAGCCGGTGCTTCTGCCGATGGAGAAGTTTTTTATCTTGGAGATGGCAAGTACAAGGTTCGTAAAATAACATGATGGCTAGTCAACTCTTTTTCAAATTTCTTCTCCATTTCATATCTCGCTCACACCCTCTTCTCTCAAATTACTGTTCTACAAGTAATAACATTAAAATCCCATTCCTTTTAAATTTGTGGGCTGGTAACTTTTTTGTTGTTTTGACGACGACAGTCTTTTCTGAATATTCCATAAACTAAATGTCAAGACAGAACTTGCTTTCAAATTTTGACTGTATACAAACCCTGAACTACATAATATTTGTTATAACAATTTTGTTTCATGTTGCACTTTTAATCCTTTATCTGGATTTTTTGCAAAAAGGTACTTAAGATTATGTACATTTATTTTAATTTTTCGCATTCGTTACGTTAAATTATAATTTCATTTTGAGCCCCTATCACACCACACTAGTTCCCACTACGTTCTGGAACCGTCCTAGAAAATTAAAAAAACGGGTTGTGGTCGGGGTAGAATGTGTAAATAATGTCTGAAATACGAGCGTAGTTCGTTCATAAACAGTCCTCAATACGTCCATCTCGTCTGTACCCCGTCCACAGTCAGTTCATATAAAGTTCCTATCGGGTAAATTTGCCTCACGCACTACGGCGTGAGTCAAAGAAAAGTTTACACCTAGAAAATTGCTAATTATTTTTAAAATCATCAATGATCAGGAAATCATTAAACATCTTATGAAAGGGTGTTTTTATCCCAAATAATTTGGTATCATTTGTGTGTGGTATGTGTCCACGTTTGGATGTACAGGTGGAATTGTTTGGGAGAGTGCAAAAATCGACCAAATTGTTCCAGCTTTGTTGGCAACAGTGTACTGTACTCGTGAAGAGGCCCGCGGTCGTACGTAATTGTAATACTTTATTCTTGATAATTATCGCTAGTTATCAGTATATCGAAATGTTATATTTTCCCCCTTTTCTATTTTAAAAGAAATGAAGAAAAAGAAGTTGTAAAAAGTATTACGAGTATATTTTTTTCTTGCTCAGTATTATATTCCAGAAGAGACATGCATTAGTACATTAATTTGTAGCTATCCCTTCGTTATTGTTATTTTGACTTTCGCATTCAATTACTTATGAAATTTGTGATCCATTGTTATGAAAAATTGAGAATGATCATATTTCTTGGGATTATAATCAATAACATTTGAGTTGAATTGAATTGAATTTACACTCTATTTAGGCGTCTTTCACATTACGATGGGTCGGAAAAACCTTCGTTCGTGCAATTCTCGTCCATCCAGCCGAGGCCGTGAATGTATTGAGACGAGCTCGCGATACTTGCCCAACAAGATATGGCTACAATGGACGATTCACCGGGACGATTGAAAAAAAATGTGTCGTAGAAGACACACTGTGCAATGTAATTCCTCCCGTACCCAATGTAAGTAGAAAATATTCGACTTTTTTGTTTAAATGCACGTTTATTTTGTTTGTTTGAATTTTAGAGTTTTTTTCTCGTTCAAGAGATTACCCCCCCCCCCCCCTCCACCCCAGCAGCTTTTATGTGTGTATGTATATTTGTGTTAACGCACCCAGTGTATCAATCTCTATTTAATCTAAAACTTAAGGTTGTCCAAAGTCCAAAATATTTTTAAAAAAATAAATATCAACAGCAATGGAAATGAGCAAAGGTAAAAATGATAATAATTGGGGTTTATTTACCCACTGACACAACATAAGTATTACAACGCTCTTTCTTTAGTTCCTGCAATTAGTATCACTCCATTATTGACAGGTATCTATTCAGACCCAGAGAGGGATGAATGTTGGTAAAACAGCTCGTCCAAGGATGAAAGTACGAAGCAACGATCGGACCCGGGACCTGTCGTATGAGAATGAAGAGCTTCCATCAATACCACAGTGCTCCTACTGTTTCTATTATTGCCGTTTTTTTACTAGCTGCTTTTTTTTGCCTTAGATGGCAGACCCAACAGGCAATAATAGGTACTTTTAGATTTGCACGACGAGAAGTTGGACTGCAAAGTGTGACATCCTTTTAAGGCAATGTGACGTCCTTGTAAGGCACTGTCTCTCTTTTGTCTCTCTCTCTCTCTCTCTCTCTTTCTTCTATATCTCTAATCCCTTTCCCCACCTCTCCATCGAACAGGCAACCATATGTGATTTAACGAGACATGCGATAGCAGAGCCGTGGTTCTGTACAGCGCCAACCAAGACCAATTTGACTTGTTCAGACTTTGCTTGGACTTGTGGCGACACAAAATACTCAGCGGCTCTTTTCAAACCTGCTATGACAAAACAGGAGGAGACATTGTTTGGAGGGTAAGCATGCATGTTAAAGTTACTATGTCCCTTTTGCAGGCCAAAAATATGAAAAGGTTAAATTCCAATGGCATTTGAAAAATAATACTAATTTAGAACTCCCCTTAAAAAATGGGGCTTGAAAATGTCTTTAAGTGGGAAAATAACGACTATTAGTTGTCAAATCGACTTAGGAACGCTATAGAGCCAATAAGTAATAGTCTTGATTTTCACGCCATTGTACCGCATGGTCGTACGTTTTATGCTGCGCAAAGATTCAATCAGTTTAATTTTGGCCATTACAAGAAGTAGGTTATTGATGTAAACAAATCCTTTACAGCTCATTTGATGTATGTTGTTACCAAAGAAGAAGAAAAAGCCAGTCAGTCACTCAATACTGACAATAGTGTCTGACAGTGAAGTCTAGCAAGTAAACAGGTTTCCTTGCATAATGTGAATATTAGGATACTGCTAACATTTAAATTTCACAGATAGGACATACATGACATATTCATAATTCCTGCAAAGTTCTACAGAATTTGAGGTTGGCTGCAAAAGGAACATAGTATCTTTAACTCCGGGGGAGGGAAAGGGGTATACATACAAAACTTTTGAGGCTTCGGTGTCAAAATGTCAGTGGTAAAAACGGTGGAGGTAAAAATGCTAGCGGTCAAATTGCCAGGACTAAAAATGCCGAAGGTAAAAATACCAGATTTTGAAAATAAGGGAGGTGAATATGACAAGGGTAAAAATATCAACGGTATAACTGTCAGCGGTGAAAATGCCATGGGTAAAAATGCCATAGATAAAAAGGACAGTGGTAAATTTGTCTGGTTCCCCTTTTAAGTAAGTCCCATCTTATCAAAGAAAGAGGTCTACTAGTTCATTCAGCTCCAAGGAATCTGTACATTTTAACACCGATTTTTTTTCTTCGTAATATATTTGTACAGTATATTGTTTACAGGCAAAAGCAACCTATACCCGTGCGAGGAGTCAACTTTGTGACAGTGACTCAACGAGACAAAAGTGAGTGTAAACATTAACGTAGAAAATTAATCTTAGTGTATAGTTGTATTCGATAAAACCCCGATTGGCAACCCCATAACGTACCGTTCAAGGACCTCTCTCATTTGATTTTTACTAAAACAATATACAGAATTCCATTTACCTTCTAAAAATACATCTATCTATACAACCGTACAACATTATTTTAGTACACATTCCTTCCTTTTATAGAACCTGACACATTTGAGTCAATGATACATAGATGGCTGATGTCACTCTCGCTATAATGTCACACTGCGCAGGCGCGGCTTTACAAGAATGCAACATCAATCATCAAAATAACATACATTAGATCTCTCCCCCTTAGCTTTTAAACAACTTTTACAATCTCCCTGTTTTGTTCCAAAATATTAAAAAGCCAGTATATTTTTTTTCCCCTTTTTTTAGTATAGGGGAAAGATTTAGAATTTAAATTCCAAAAAGTGAACTTTTCAAGACATTAGAAAATAATCTATATTATTAATACGCAAAATCGCCGCGGGGGGTCTAAAACGGGGCAAAACGGTTCCTCAAAAACGTCTTTCCGCGACCCCGCTCGCCTCCACCGTGGCGCGGGAACGGTGGCACAATTCCACGAGGCCTGTCTCCCGTAACCCGCGTGCCACCTCGACCCCGCGATCGACGTCAATGCCGTTAAACGCGGTTTCGGGGTTTCGGGGAGGACGGGCGGACGAAAGCACGGCGGGCGTCGTGGATTGCAAGGAGGCGACGAACCCGCGAGAGCGAGTTGACAAGGCGTGCTCCCGCCCTTTGTCTAATTATCAAAGAGAGACGAAGAGACACATAATAGACGAGAATCCACTCGCATCAACGGGTGTAGCAAATCTCATCGTAAAACGGTGGGGCGTACCCCGAGTTAGACCTCTTACTATAGGATATGCTTTGTAGCGTGTCAGAGAAATACACATTAACCGATGACTCACCCGGTTGATGAGATGTAGTGAATCTACGCTCTGACGGGCTGGGCTTACCCGTGTTATGGATCTTGCTATAGGGTATGCTTTGTACGCCAGACGGCCTATGCCTGTACGTGTATGCGATGATTTTACGCTCATGTCACACGCACAGTCGGTTTGCGACTTTCATTCTATGATTGCCGTGATTTGTGATTTGTATATAGTTAACGTGAATTAGAGGTATGAAAGCAGGGCTAACTTTGTGATTATCCCGTCCATGTTTACTGAATTGTGATAATCATTCTTCAAAATAAAGTTTTCACAAGGAATCCATCGTAACTTACAGTTCAGTTGCAAGCTGGCTGTCTTGCGGCTCGAGTCCACACACGGACAGCGCATTGCGCCACATGCACTGCTGCCGTGCACTGTCGGAACTGTGACTGTGTGTGAGCTGAGCTGGGCTACATAGAGTAGACTCGACATTCGATAACACTTTGAAATTGCTCTTATTGCCCTGATTTCAATATAGTTTCGTGATTATAGAGGTATGAAACCTGAGCTTAGATTGAGATTATTCTGGCCATGTATAGTTGTATGCTGAATGTCGATAATCAATTGTCAAAGTAAAGTTTTCACAAGAAAATCAGACGGTCCCGGGTCGTTTAAAAACATGACCTAGCTCATTAGCTGAATACTAGAATACTAGAATACTATAGAATACTTTACTCAGTGATACACAGTTCTTGCATCAAATCAATGCTTTCAAACGGGTATGACGGTCGCCATTCATGGTCAAACAGGGTATATTATAAAAATCGTCTATACCCTATATAAAAATAATCACATATTATTTTTGATTGCACATAGGCCTCTTTCTATTTACCCCCCCCCCCCCCTCCCCCCCCCCCCCTCCCCTCCTAGAATCCCGTGGATTTTCCACGGGTCCTGCTAGTATCATTTAATAATCACATTCCAAAATCCGTTAATCAAGTTCGAGGTCAAGTTCCAAGTTCAAAATCCGTAATAATCAGGTTTTTTCGTATGTCGCTTTGGGTATCCTTTTCGCTCTGACGCTATCAGATGTTTTTTTTTTGTGTGGAAGTTATCGCGATTTTCATCTTCAGAGAGATTGCTTTCCTCGTTTAAAGTTGGTGTACCCAAGTCGACATTCGGATCGTCTTGTGTTTTGCTTCCGTTCGCGACGATGTTTTCGCGTTTGGGCGATTCGTGTTTCAGAATCCGGTCTGCGTGGCGTTTCCAGATGCACGTAGTTGTTTCGACGCGTACTTCGACCTCGTAATAGACTGGTCCTAAGTTCTTCCCTCTCGCGTAGTTGCGAACTGATACTCTCTCCCTTTTGGAAATCGCGAAAAGGGCGGGAATCGTGAGTAGCATTTGCGGAAACTGATTCTTCTCAACGGTAGCCTTGTTATCAGGCACAGCCATGTTGACTCGCGTGCGAAACTTCCGTTTTATCAGCATCTCGACTGGTGTTTGCATCGTTGAGGAATGCTGTGTAGACCGATAGGAGAGCAGAAATCGAGCTACCCGGGTTTGGAGTGGTTCCGACATCTTGGTAGTGCTGATAACCTATGTTGGTCGCGGAATGATATGGCGCTCTTTAACATGGCGGCTGCCGATCGATGTCATGAAAATTTCTCGCTCGCGAAACACGGACCATTGTCGGGGACTAGAGTATGCAAACAAAATCCACTTGCACACGGGACCAAGGTTGACTAGGGCAGGTGCGGATCCAGGATTTCTTAGGGGAGGAGCCTAACTTTTTTTTGTTTTGCTTCCGAAAGTTTGAAAATCGTTTCCGGCCGAAAATTCGCTCACGGGGTAAGACGGGTAAGACAATTTCCTATGATACTGGGGGTTGCTTTACTGTCGCTATCCGCGGAAGCCTGCTTAACGCTTCTGCGTTTGCGTTGACTGAGTCCGGATTGTACACTATTTCATACTCGTACGCTGCGAGAGTGTGCGACCAACGAATCACTGTTGTCGAAGCCACCAGTCGAATTGCCTTCTTCAGTCTCTGAGGAACTTGCTCAAGGTTGTCGAGGACTCGAGGTGCCCTGCTTTCGAACTGTCTCTCACTATCAGATCATCCAGCGACGTCACTGTCGACAAGCTCCGTCACGTGTTCGCAACACATGGAATACGAGAGAAGAGTCCACAATCTGGCCGATTTAATGTTCATCCCCACCACACCAACACAATGCAACCTCCCCCTGCTTACTCGCTGACAGCCGAAGATGGCGTGATCCTTGAATTAGGACGCCTGGTGAAAAAAAAAATCTTAGGCCTGGCCATAGCGCTGGTGAGCGTATGAAGACGTTTATAACGCCATCTTCGGCGTCTTGAATCGAGTGTTGGGAATACAAAAAAACGACCAGATTCTGGACTAGAGATGAGGGGGTATTTGTTGAGTGGACTTCGAGTTTGCTGTGTGCAGACTTGTACACCAATTAATGGTATTTCCACCAAGTCTGCTGTCAGTGAATTGAGACCGTCTACACATGGAAACTGCCGACCCACCCACTTTAAACAAACCCTCCAGAATGTATAAAAAAAAGAACACTGCCAATGTAAGCATCGTAATTAATGTGAAAAGTTTTGCATAAAATATGATGACTTTGTATATATGAAACAACTAAAAATCTCAAGAACACAAAAAAGACGAAAGACTTGATGCATGGCTAATCGTCAACGAAACGGAGTTCAGTATTTTCCAACTCTGTTTGTTGCTACGGCAGGCAGCCAGTGAAAACGAATTCGTTTAATCAAATTATGGAAATGCAATCATTACTTTAAACAAACAGAATTTGTTATTCCTGGCTCATTTTTCCTGATTGAGGTGCCATACGAAAGAGAATTTTTTTTTTCTTCTAGAAATGGGGTTTTCTCTTTGAAATTCAGATAACGCCCTAAAATGGCTTATTGTTACCTTCTCTTTAAATTGTTTTAATCACTCATGCCTGAAATATGCATCATATCAATTATATCAATTGAAAGGGGAGGATCTAAGCTTTACAAATGTGTGTCATTTATTAATGGTAATTGTGATTAAATTATGATATTAAAACATCGATAATTCTCGTTTTCGTTTTTTCTGGGACGCACTGTATAGGGAATCAGACATTACGACCACCATGTTTTATCTTCTAGATCTAAACCCTTTTTCTATTTAGTGAGGCTGTAACATTATTTAAAATTATTTTTTAAGAACGACTGGTAAAAAAGAGAGCATCTTTTTTGTTTCAATTTCAATATAAGAAGTAATACTTCAGGTTTAATACATGTAGGTAACATCAACTTTGGTATAATACTCTTTTTTTAAACCGGCACGAAGAGCGATAAAATGTTCCGAAAGGTGCGGAGCCATTTACGCTCAGAATGAATGTTGACGCTGCAGCACATATACAAATGAGGCAATCTACGCGTGCTATCATGTTGTCTTTAAAACTTAAAGGGGTGTAGCATGGCAAATACTTGTTCGCGCCGTCTATGACTTCTTTGGGACAACTGCATGTACATGTAAATGAATGGACTTGATTAACGGTCAGCGCGAGCTAGCGTTCGCAAAATAGACCGAAATTCTCCTCACGCATTTCGCGTACGTTACACGCACGTGAATACTGCGGCCACGTCGCCCGTAGTCGTATTATACCCGATTGGCCCCGAGTCAGGCCACAAGAGAGACACGTAGTCTTGTCATGCTACACCCCCTTTTAGTTGTCTAGGGCAGTAATGTCAACGCGTGCGTAATTACATGCTCGTACGCGCGCGTCAAAATGAAAAAAATGCTCAAAATCACTTCTTAAATAAATGAGAGTATGTTTCTCACCATTTTGGGCTTTTCAATGTTATACGCGCGCACGTGCCTCATTGCGCTCAAAGCGTTTACGAAACATAAATGTAAGCAAACAAGTTTTATTTTGTTATGAGCGCTCCAGACACAAGCCCTCGCACACAAACTTTAATGCATTTCATTGCATGCCTTTAAAAATTGTTTTCACTCATTATTTGGCTGTTATAAATAATATATCTTTGATAACTTATGTTACTGGTTGGTTTGCTTGTGTACGTTCTTTTTCTGAGGCCGCCATCACGTTCAATCTCTAGCTTAAGAGCCCACTGAACTACTGGTAGCTACTTGCACCCTCTATATAACAAACAATGCCTAATCGGTGACCATTGGTCCCCCATGATCCTCTTCTTCTTATGTTAACTGAGAGCTGAGTTGATGAGATAACCACCTGTCCAGTGACCTTGCAGAGCGGTCTAATCCCTCCTGTAAACTACGGCAGATAAGCTTTAAGTAAATTATTTGTTAACGATGTGTTTTTTCAAATCGTGTAATGAGACCAATCTTCATCAGTGACTGATTGTAATGGATTGTTTTTAAAAATATTCATGTTAAATGATTAGCCTTATCTCAAGCACCGTCTTAGAAGAAACAAATGAGATAGGTAACAACTTTAAACTGAGAAGCTCCAAAAGTTAAGTAAACTGTTTTATACGCACAAAAGGGTAATGAGAAGCATTTTACGTTATTGTCGTTCATCCTAGTCAATTTCTTCATGACATGTACGAATTACAAGTAAAGTAACTATAAATCTTATATCTTTCAGACATATCGAGTCCAGCTCATTGCTTTAACGAGAGGTTACCTCCGTGCGCCGTAGATTCCCACAGTCTTTCTAACCCCATGGCAGCGGGCTACTTCTTTAAAGGGCACTGGTATTCCAACTACTGCCGTCTTCGTAGCTTTGTAATCCCTAGCAGTTCCTTAGAATGCCTCACCAATAAAACCCTGTATTTCCACGGGGACTCCACCTCGAGACAGTATTACGAATACATCGTGAAGACTCTAAAGAGTACCCTCAAACCAAATCCACCAACCTTGCAATCTAATTGGAAGGTTGGCCCTTCTATGGCCGAAGACAAAGTAAACAACTTTACGGTTCACTATCGCCATCACGGATACCCGATCCGGAATAACTGGACGGATGCATCCGAAGTGAAGTACATTGAGGAAGCTCTTGATGAGTTAAAGGCGACACCAAATACAGTCTTCATGTTTACAATTTGGGCGCATCTAACCACCTTAAACATGAGTTTCTATGAGCATCGAGTGAGGAGGATAAAGGCCGCGGTGGAAAGATTGCATCGCCGAAGTCCCGAGACGCTTGTCGTCATCAAAAGCGCGAATACCCGCGGGCACGGGGGCGCGGGATCGTCGGTAACGGTAAGCGATTGGTACGCGCGAGAACTGGACATGAAGCTTCGGGAAATATTCAAGAGCTACGATAAGAAAATTGGGTTCATAGACCAGTGGTCGATGGTGGTAGGATTTTCGAATGTGGATGCCATTCATCCAGGCCAGGGAATTATATATAGTGGAATGCGTATATTGCTGTCACACATATGTCCAGAGGCCTAGATAGCGGAGGGGGATGGGTGGGTGGGGGGGGGGGGGGGGTTGCAGTGTACTAAAATTTCCTCCACCCCCCCCCATAACAAAAATCTATGTTCAAGGCCCCCTTGCAAGAATGAAATAAGAAAAAGTTGCCTCTAATTATTTGAATTGCAAAGATTTTAATGTAGAAGCAGCAGCTTTCTAGTGCACATACTTACGGCTCTTCAATATCAAACGTTTCCTAGCTTGGTTGCTACACTGTAAAAGCTCTGTTTACAATAAAAGTTTCCCTTAGTCGCTCCGCTCACTTACACATTCATGTACTAGATGCAGTAAATCTTATTACTAAAAAAAACGATCACAAGGCTACAAATTGGGGGTTGACGACAGGTGTTTTTATCTCTGCAAAGAGAGGGCGATTAGTTCCCGTTCCCTATTCAAGACTAGTCTACGCAAATGGCCCAGAGATTTGACGGTAGTGGCCTCCCCTACAAAGCGAAGGATCCAAACTTATTTCTAGACGACTGTTACTTATCATTGTCTAAACTCTCCCGAAGCGTGGGAAAGCGGGAAGATTCCCTGCTTGAATGAAGTGGACGAGCCAAATGGATTCCGCCCCCCTTACTAAATAAACGAAAAAGTATCGTCTCTTAAGTGAGAAGCTATGATTATTGAAGCCCAAGTCCACTCCAAAAATAACTTACTTTCAATAGAAGCAAAAAAATCAGACTAACCAATCAAAAAAAGTTTGAGCAAAATCGGATATCTATTAAGAAAGTTATGACTTTAATGGCATGAAAAACTTTGAAAATCACTAGACAAATTGGCAACTCACTTATGAGTCTGTGACGTCATGTCCTCACTATCCACTAATTATTTTCTTTATATTGATGATATAAATTTCCTATTTTCTCCTTAAGAATCTTATTTCTTCACACCAGCATCCAGGCTAGATTGATAGAAATAATTATGTTTTTGTGTGGATGCACTAATAATATATTAATTTTGTTCCAGTTAAATCATGAAAAAGTGTAGAATTCATATTCCTTTGCTTTTTTGGTTTTCAAATGTCGTGTCGTGCTCGATTTGTTCAATGTCTCAATGAAAAACATGTATCTGTATCAACCTTGAGAGAATTTTTGTCACCATCAGACCCTCAAAGTACTAATAACTTCACTCAGTCACATTATACTCCAGATAAATTCAATACGTTTGTAACACAGAAATTACTTGATAAGGATTTCAACAAATTATCGTTTATTAATATTAATTGTAGAAGTCTCCAACATAATTTTGATGCATTGTCTGTACTTATGATGTCATTGCGTATGCAAGTTTCAATTATTGGTGTTTCAGAAACATGGCTAAGGGATGAAAATTCGCAATATTCTCTGTGCAATTTAGATAATTATGAATTTGTGGGAAATAATAAAAGACGTGGAGGTGGTGTTGGTATTTTTATTCGCAAGGACATTAATTTTAAACGCCGCACTCACTTGGATATTAATGAATCATTTTTAGAAAGTATTTTTTATTGAAATTGAACGTTTCAATTCAAGTATTTTAATATGTGTTATGTATAGGCCACCCGGACACAGTGGATGATTTTTTAATGTCTCTCGTTAATGTTTTCGATGTTGTAAATTATTTTATTTAATGGGTGATTTTAATATTGATTTATTAAATGTTGGGAAGGTTCAATCTGTTAATGATTTTTTAAACATTTAAATGCTACATTCTACGATTCCTGTATTAAATGAACCAACTCGTGTTACTGACAGATCTTCATCATTATTAGATAATATTTTTACAAATGATTCTTGCTATGTTTATTCTGGAATATTATTCACTTACATTTCTGACCACTTCCCGGTATACTGTATCTGTGATACTGATATTCCCAAAAGTTCCTGTGAAACTGACTTTTATAAACGTGATTTAAATGAAAATAATATTATAATGTTTTTACAATTGTTGTATTCAACTGAATGGCATCTATCTAGTGATGTGAATAGTAGTTATAATAACATTGTTTTTAAATTCACGAAACTGTATAATTTGTGTTTCCCTGTGAAATTAGTTCGTATGAAATATAAGCGTAATAATAAACCTTGGATTACAAATGAAATTATTAAGTTGATTAAGAAAAAATGTAGACTTTATAAGTTGTTAATCAAAAATCCTAATGTTTGTAAAAAAGAAGTATATAGGACAATTCGTAATAAATTGAATAATAAGATTAAGATTGAAAAAAGAATTATTTGAAGAAAAGTTTTAAAGACTCTACAGGAAATATGAAGAAAACGTGGGATATTATCAATAAAGCAATGGGGAAAAAATGTAAGATGACTAACATTAAAGAGATTGATAAAAATGATACAGTGATAACTGATAAGAATGATATTTTTAATAATTTTAATGAATATTTTGTAGATGTGGGGTATAATTTGAATTGTAAATTTGATTGTTTTGATGATTCAGAGTGTATCAAATATATTGCATGACAAGTCTATGTTCTTTAAACTTGTAACAAGTTCAGAAATTGAAGATGTTGTTAAAAAACTATAAAAAAATAATACAAGTGCTGGATATGATGATATTGATGTTAAAATTGTGAAAAGATGTCTCTATTTATTAAGCAATCATTTATGTACAATATTTAATCAATGTCTTGAACAAGGAGTATTACCAGATAAAAGGAAAATAGCAAAAGTGATACCTGTTTTTAAAAATGGAGTGTCTGAAACAATGTCTAATTATCGCCCTATATCCGTTTTAACAGTTTTTTTCAAAAAATTTAGAAAAATGTATGCATAATAGATTATATGCTTTTTTTTTTTTTAACTAAGTGCAATATAATTAATAATAATCAGTATGGTTTTAGAGCTGGACATTCTACTTCACTGTGCAATAATTGATTTTATTCATAAGGTAGCCTCTGCAATAGATAATAATGAAGTTATGCTTGGATTGTTTTTAGACCTTAGTAAGGCTTTTGACACGTTAGACCATCATATACTGTTGGTGAAATTATATCAATATGGAATAAGGGGAATCGGTTTAGATCTTCTTAAAAGTTATTTGTTACATCGTCATCAATATGTTTCTATTGCTAATGTAAAATCAAATTACCAAGAAATCAAATGTGGAGTACCTCAAGGATCCATATTAGGCCCATTATTGTTTATTTCATATATCAATGATCTTCCTAGTGTGTCGAGAATTTTAAAATCAATTTTATTTGCCGACGATACAAGCATTTTTTTTATCCCATCAAAATATACAATCACTTCAAGATATATTTAATCGAAAAATTAAGTTAGTAAACACATGGTTTTTTGTAAATAAATTTTCAATTAATATAAGTAAGACACATTGTATGATTTTTACTAATAAAAAATGTGACAGATTCTGTTATTATTCGTTTGTGTAATACAGAAATTAAACAGGTCTCTTCACTTAAATTTCTTGACATAACCATTAATAATAAGTTGAAATGGACTGATCATATAAATGCTGTTTGTAATGTATTATCGAAAAATATTGGTGTTATGTATGAATTAAAATCATTTCCTAAATGTATATTGAAGATGATGTGAACGCGCCAATAAAGAAAACGTTGAAACAACTTGTAGAGTTCTTATTTCTCTTTATTCTGTTCTTTAGTAACAAGTCATCTTCACGTCGCTCATTAATCAACGAATCAGTGATTAGCAAATCAGCAATTCAGCAATTCCGTAGTTAGCGAATCATCATCATTAAGCGATTCAGCTATCCAATTTACGGTTCACTGTAAACAACAAAGTAAAAAGCATTATAAACATATGCATCATATAAACAGAATTAAATGCATGTAACCCTGTCTACTTTACAGTGAATCTTGTAAATAGTCTTGACATATAAACGTGATGTTTATATACGAAATAAACTCCAAAGGGAATGTAATTATCCAGCTATACAGTGTATTCATTTATGTCTCTGCTTGATATAGATATATATATCTTCATAAATTCCTGTGCTTAGAATGTGCCTGTAAAGCACGGTGTTCTACAGATACGGCTTCATAATGCCCCCTTAATTAAGCAATTACAAAGTAGTCTATGTGATTCCAGACCCTATTAAACTGACATCAATAATATTCCCTCAGAAACGGTTCTACACACTCCTTATAATGGTAATTAACCTCTTTTAACTCTTACAAGCTGTGCAAGTCACTACCACATATCATACTAATTAAATCATGCACCATCTTAGAGCTTGTTTATATGAATAAACCCCTTTATGCAAGACACATACCTGGGTGCAATTGCAACCACTCATCTTCAAGGTCTGAACTCGTGTACGCTCATTATACACACACATGTATCCCATGCATAAGCACTTATACTTTACGTGCTTAAAGGCCCGGTCACACAGAGGGGACGCATGGGGAATGCACGGCCAGCGCATTGGAAATTTGCAATTTTGGCCAGTGCGTTGTCGTGCGCCCAACTTTTGTCGTAGCTGACACCAAATTCATAGCGTGTTGCTAGCGCGCTGAGCGCATACAGGGCGCATACAGTGCGCATACAGACCGTACCCAGAGCGCACATGATAACAACTTCCACGAATGCACGGCGTGTTGCTAGCGCGCTTGACGAATGATCCACGCATGCACCGCGTTCTACGGCGCACGGCCAGCGCATTGGAAATCGGAAAAGGTCGTGTGCCTTACTTTTGTCATGATTTTGGAAAACCTAGCGAGCTGACACAAAATGCACAGCGTGTAGCTAGCGCGCTGTGCGTATGCAGGGCGTGTGCTCCACGTATGTCTGGCGCTGGTCTAGCGCGCTCAACGCACGTCTGGCGTGCCTTTGGCGTGTACATTCATGCGTCGAGCTCTGCGCACACTTTTGAGCATGCTCAAATAATCCCGACGCACACAGCGAATGATGACGAGTGCATAGCGCTGGTCCAGCGCTGGTCCAGCGCGCTCGACGAACGAGTAACGAGTGATGACGCACGCCTAGCGAACGACAACGCACTGGCC